AAGTACTTAAAGGGGTCATCGGATGCAAAATTCACTTTTATATGTTGTTTGAACTAAAATGTGTCTTGGCAGTGTGTGTACACGGAAAAAAATGTTTCAGGGCAAGTTATTTATTTTTCATTGGCTCAATAATTAAGCAATTATTTAATTGATGAGTGAGCATTAGTAAAGAACACCTGCTGTTAACAATGTTGAAGATGAACTACTGCTCTTGATGAGTGAGCATTAGTAAAGAAAACCCGCTGTTAACAATGTTGAAGATGAACAACTACTGGTCAGGCTTTTAGACATAAAACCGTATCACATAATCCTCAACAGTGGTAACTCTGCTTCAGTGTTACTTTAACACTCTGTAGATTGGGACAATATGTACTCTGAGCAGAGTTGATTTAACTCTGGGGATTTTGCTGTGTATAATGATAAAAATCCCAATAAATCATAAGCACTGTCTCAGATCAAGCCATTCACAGATTCTTGGCAGAGTGACATCACACAGACCCAGGCCACTCCCACGATTGTTGACTGACACTGGCGTTTAAGCATAGACCCACCCTGACTGAGCTGTCAACAGTCCGCCATTGTTTCGATGCCGGAGCAGGTGTAGACAAGAATGTCTCCTAAGAAATAGAGGTGTTTAGTTGTTGGATGTAATAATGAACATAGCAGTCATCATTTACTCTCGACATCTGAGCCGCTGAAGACGCAGTGGATTTCTTTTGCTTTTGAGGGGAAAGCGCCCCCCATTCTACCTAATCAAGTCTATGTTCGTGTGAATCATTCGTGATCCGGCTTCACCTACAGAAGCAGTGAGTATAAGGTTCTTTTTAATGAATCTTTGCAAATCGCTTTTCCTAATAATGTGCTAGTTAGCAAGTTCCACAACAAATGTGGCTAAAGTTTACAGTCTCATAAGAACGGCTCGTCACCCCAAGGAAGAGAAGGGCGGGGTGAGCAGAGCTCATTAGCATTTAAAGGGGCATGCACCGAAACAGGCCGCTGTGAACAGAGTTGTTTTTGACAGGGTAAAAAGGGTGTTGTTTTACACTACCATTGAGAAATTTTTACCAAATTATGCTATAGACTTTTCATTAAGACCCTAAAGAATCATATCAACTTGTGGAAAATGGGCATCCGATGACACCTTTAAAAAGGGCACTTACGCCAAAATCAGTATCATTCTAAAAGCTCTCAGCCATGTCCTCATCTCATATGCTGTATGAAATACATGTGATTCAGCAACTACCTGCACTCGCATTCACATAAAGTAGCCTTGTTGACACGTTTGGGTGAGTAAAGGCAAAACACAAGATGTAATACCTTCAATGCTCTAGATGGCGATATCACTTCTTTTGTAGCAGAAATACACTGTTGCAGAAATAGTTAGGCACCATGTAAAATGTAACCTGTAAATGCGTTACTCATCACAAGTGTATTGGTGTAAAGAGTACATATATTTATTCAACAATGAAGTCAAGTAGAGAGTAAAAGTTGCTAATATTTTTAATTCTCAGTAAAACTACAAAGTAGCCAAAAAGATACTTAAGCACAGTTGCATGGCAAATCCGAAGGTCTGGGTAGTTGCTAAAATGTTGCTTGCTATTCTGGGGTGCGTTAAGCTAACTAGCATCGTAAGCTAACTGGTCGTTAGTTCCATTGAACTCTATTGGTAACAACGGAACTTGCGACCATAGTTCCTTTTGGGAAACGCACCACTGGCTGGTTGCTAGAGTACTGCTATTAGGAGTATTTGCAGTTGCTAAGGTGTTTCTCATATCTCTTCACAGATCTCCATCTCAAAACGTCTTTAACAAAAATAAAGAGCTCTGATTCTACTCCCTGTAGTGCTGCTGTGCCTCTGTTTTGGAAGAGCTACATTCTTGCCAGCTGACTCACAAGATAAGAGTTTTTATGTGTTAATCCAACGCCGCCGGCCTGTAAGCTCCGTCTGACAGCAAGCGTGCTAACGCTTCCACCCACCCGCTTCTGCGAGCCAAGCCACACTCGTCCCCAAAGGTCACGTATATATAACGCTTATCTCCCTATAAATCTGCCCTCAAGACCAAACACTTGCTGTGGATCTGTGGGCTAAAGCCTGCAGTGGGAAGTACACCGTTCCCAATGCGGCTTTCTTGTATGAGCAAGAGTATTCGTAAGGACGCAAAAGTATTTTCAAGTGGTGTAGTAGTAACCAGTACTTTGGTTAGTACTTGGTTTAGTAAGAGACTAAAATAATATTTGCTTATGCAAAATCCAGTGAATGTCATATTTAGTATTGTTTGCCATATGAAAATTTTAATTAAAATTGCTTAGAAAAGTAATAGCACACCTCGCTTGAACACATACATGATTTAAGGCAAGATATAAGTTTTTTCATGCATCTGTCAATTTTGAGATTAGTCTTTTTGAATTTTCATGAAGTATTTTTTCAGACTAGTGGAAAGAAAACATCCAAAACACACTTTTAAGTGTTTCTTTTATAGCACTTTATCTATTTGCGTCTGTAGATTTCAATTACAGTCCATATAGAGGTGGGCGATATGACCAAAATCTTATATCATGATGTGAAAAATTTTATTTCACGGTAATGACATATATCACAATATAGCTGTCACTGCCCGGACACAATATGCTGTTACACGTGTTTTCTTTCTCAGCTGTTTGCTTTCACTTAAGGCCTAAACTGCTGTTTATGAGGATACTTGCAAAGATGGGTATTTTGACACATACAAGTGTGTGTATTTAACCGTTCAAGGCCTATAAAGCGGCAAAAATAACTCTGTTCAATATGCACTTTGAGCACTGTCTTCACATGTAGCGAAATAAGTTCTCTTTCACTACTGATTGCATTTCAATGGCTTAAAATCACTTGTTTTTAAACCACAATACATAAAAATGCATGCAAACGAAAAGTTTTCATGACCACGTAGCACAGCAACATCACATGAGCGTGTAACCGCCATAAAGACGGTTAAAAATAATAATAGTAACGGTTAATCGTGTCTATGAGCCAAAAATCTCCACTTCAGCAGCATTTACATACACCAGACTTTACAGTTTTATTCCTATCTATATTCTTAAGGTTCTTACAGAAGGATTTGTTCTAAAAATGTATGCAAATTATTGCATATTTAATTAGATAACACATAATTTGCATATTCAAACATAGCAACTTAATGTAATCAATCAACTGGGGAATATGGTGATATCTATTGGTTAATTATTTTTACCCTATTCAGCTGGGGTGTCCTATAACATAATATTCAGGTCCGCAGCACAAACAGTTATGTGTTAAAGTGTAACATTTAAGGTTATAGGGTTTGAAAAACTCATTCGCTACCCTATTTCTTTTACCTATATTGCTTCATTGAATTTTTAAACAAATTTTTAACCTCAATATTAACATTTTAAAATCTAGTTGTTCACGTTTTTTTCATTTATCTAACTTTGAAACAGCTGGTTTATTTTCAGCATAACAAGATCGGTATCTTGGACAATTGACTGAAAATGAATGCAGTTGTAAAGACCACACACATATTGGGCTCTGAGGACATGATCACGTGACTCGACGAATATACACAAAGTCTTCGCCAAAGAAGAAAACTTTTGACTGCTATGTTAGCTTTCAGCGCCTTGACTCTATCAATACGTCCTTGTACGGATTAGTGCGCTAATTAAAATGTTAGCCGATTCTGTTTAGGAACATACATAAATTTCAACACTAACCACATAGTGGTTACGCGCTGCCAAGGGGGTAATTTTACAATGTTCAAAAGTAAACATACTCTGACATGTTTTCCACAAGTCTTTCTCAACACAAGTTTTTCTGGCAAAGACAAGGTGTGAGGTGGAACTGTTGAACAACGAAAAACATAATCAGACTAGCTGTGGGAAATTTCTGACATTCCACAATTGGAAAAATGTATCTTTGGATGAGTTGCTGAAAATGAAGCAACAATAGAGAGCTATTGGCGCCCTTTGAGACTTCAATCTTGATATAAGAATTACAGAGGTGAAAGCAAATCTGGTCAAACAGCTACAAGCAGCTCTGTCTTACAACGTGACACAAATTAGAATGGCTCGAGATCAGAATCGCTTGTGTGCAGGGGCCAAAATTAACACTCGTCGAGTGCCAAAAATGAGTAAACATTGGGTTTGGCGAATTAATAAATCTAAACAAGTTTTTTCAGGAACTGCAACATAATACATGGCTGAAATCAAATAGTGAGAATGATCATCTGAATTTTGATTATGGCAGATTTTTTTTCTTCAGTTCTAATAATCAATAATATACAGTACAAACTAATAATTTAGAAAATTCTTTGGAAGTTCATATATATATATATATATGCTGTTTGGATATTGCTTGTATAGCAACGGCTTTCCTTTTGGGCCTCTTTCGTCAATTGTAATTTGTACAATGACAAAATGAACTTCCACAGTCTTTACCTGACAAAGTTTCAGGTTGCTTTTGATTAATGGTGCCACCATTTTGGACATGCATTACTGACCATCGTGACAACCCAAGCGCTTCGTTCACTCATCCATCTTAACAGCAAATTTAGAAACAACCATGTTGTCAAACCAAGGAGCTTCATTCAGTGCAGCAAAATGAATGGCGAAGAATGCCAGTCATGCTTACCTGACTATTTTTGCTGCTCAATCTCAGTAAGCTGCTGTCTTATTTTAGCAATGATTTGACATTTAGAGTGGGTTTTACATGAGGACATATATGAATATATAATATATATGAACATATATATGGACATATATGAAGCAAGCAGTAAAACATTAATTCATCGAGGCCATTTAGCTTCAGAGTTTTTTTTGAATGGCTGTTATTTCTTGAAGATATGGTTTATAGTTGCTACTAACTACCTCAACCCAAACGCAAAGTATTTCAGAGATTTGATGCAACAAGCATTGAAAACCGGTTAATTCAACAAGCTTGTTGTAGCAAATTTATGCCTTTTTTATTCTCAGAAACTGCACAGATGTATATAGGCACAGATATTATCAGTAAAAGGTGTTTACAGTTTGAAAATAGTGAAAGGATTGTGTCCTGATCACAGTTCATTCTATTAAACACCAGACAATGCCCATTGTATGATTTCCCATGACACCAACCGTCTACCAGTGCTCCAGACTGGCCTGTGATCTCTGCGCTTGCATCATTGAAGGCGGGTAAAGTTCAGGGTTCTGCAAGTGGAGATCAGAGCGTTATAGTCAGAAACTACACATTCCACAATGCGTTGCCCCACTTCAAAAACCTGAGAACAGAAAAGCACCAGTATCTGCTGATTGGTCATGGTCATGGCAGTCAGGTCAAATCGAGCCAGTCGGGTTTCTTATGTGGTTTACAGGTGTGGACGTCCACTGTTTCCTCACAGTCCCTGCACTCCACAGCGCAGCACCACTTGAACTTGCACTCGCATTTGCTCACACGATTTACACGCGTGGTGTCGTACCCGCGGCCGCAGCACATGACCTCGCAGCCGTCCATGCCTCTGGAAGACTTGTTACACACCCGTCCTGCTGTACCCAGAGAACCTGAAATATAGATGCAGAAATGGAACACATCAGGGTCATTATTTTCCATTTAGTAAAATGATTCCATTGTGAGTCTATAGGCCATTCACTTATTCAATCAAGATCTTTTTTCTTTTGAAAAATATTACATGGTAACTATAGTTTTTCCATGGGGCAACTGGGTATTTTCAAGTCTGGGTCATATATTTGTTCACCTCAAAACCAAAAAAGAAACAAATAAATTATAATAAAATAAAAATATAAATTTTATTTATTTTTAATAAACATTAACATTTTAAAAGCTTATAAAATGAAGCACATTTTCATGATGATTAAGCACATTTCTCTTGCGTAGTTGTCATAACTGTAATGTGTCTGAGTGCTTTATCTCTGATATTTATCTATGTGTCATATCAATATTCTGGTGGTTCTCATTACTCTAATAATTGTAATAATTTTAATTATTACTGTATTACAAAAAATATACTTGAAGGCAATTATTTTTATCTAAACTGGCAAATACTACGATGTATAAATTCTTTAGAATTTAATGCATCTTTTTTTTGCATTGCATTGCATTACACTGCGTTGTAGTAGGGCTGGGCGATATGGGCAAAAATTCATATTTCGGAATTTTTTGGCCGATTTCCGATATACGGTATATATCTCTGTATTTTCGTTTTTGTATTTGGATTTTAAAAATCTGTATTTAGTATATATATATTTCACTTACCGCCCAATGTTATCCAACAAAACAATAAATATTAAAGGCTATGAGAACAAATAAAGTGAATGTAACCATGTAAGCCTTTATACTATGTGCAAAAAAGGGTTAAAATCACATTTCATTCTAACATTGTAACATTGCAATCTAAAAACAAAAATAAGGCTT